GAGAGACCGTGCGCGAGGTGCACCTGAGGGGGAAACCTCGAGCACCCTGAACGCAGCAGCTCCTTCAGCGGCCGCGGGAAGTCACCGCGCAGCGCGAGGAGCGAAGAAATTCAGGGTACCCTGACGGAAAGCATATGGCCTCTTGATGTTTGGACGCCCGAGATGGGTACGGAAAAGATGGGTACAATGCCCAACAACACCTGTTGTCCCACACCGACTACGGCCGCTGTTGGGCAGGCGGCCTTCTGCCTCGAATGGACACAGGCCGCGGCGGCGTGGACAGCGAGCCCTGTTCAAAGCGAACCGGATCCGCTGCTGGGCATCGTGCCCCTTCTTTCCGCACCCACTTCCTCCCTGCCGATGATGCGCGCCCCCCCTGCACCTCGGCCCGACCGCCCCCCCCCCCCCCTGGAGCGACGCCCGAGCCTCCCGAGGCGAGCCCTCTTCCGGGGCCGTCCGCCACCTTCCTCCGGCTCTTCCCCCGCGGGCTGCAGGTCCTCTGCGCGCCCGGAGCCCCGGCGCCGCCCCAGGTCAGCGAGCGCTTGGGCACGACCTTCGCCGCCTCGCCGGCCCCCGTCGACGGCCGGGCGCCCGCCTTGAGATCCTCCACGGCCCACTCGAGCGTGCGCCGCGGCCGGGGCTGCGCCGTGGCCCTCCGAGGCCGCTCCGCCGAGCAGGAGCCGTTGAGGGCACACACGGCCGTCGTGCAGAGCCCCACAAGAACTTCGGCCGCGGCATCCACCAGCTCGACGCCGGGCCCAGGCTCCTTCTTGTAGGGGTGCAGGCAGCGCCGCGGGCGGCTGGGGACCGAGCCCAGAGAGAACGAAGATAGTGCGGTAGCAGCCTTCACGATACGGACGGACTTTATGAACATCTCCAATATGTCGTGCTGGATTTTGGACAGCTCAAAGACATCATCATCATCGTTAGTGTCCGCGCCGGGATCCCAATAATCGTCACTAGGCGATTCTCGATACAGAATGTGCACGTGCAGCTGGCTGAGACGATATCTGGGCCATCTACTGCTGAGCTCGCAGCCAGTCGCTTCTACCTTCAGCTCGACTAGATTCCCCGAGCCGCCCGAAAAGCCGAAGCGGCGCCTCCGAGCATGTGCTTCTGGCTTGCTGGCAACACCGGGCCGTTCCCTGGACAGTTCATCGTCCAGCAAGCTGCTCTTGTAAACGTGCTGGCCGTTCTCGTCGGAAACCCTCACGTCCACAGCCAAGCGACGACCTAGGCATGAAGCAAACCGGTCCTGAGGGAAACGGGTCCATGGACCCCAGGCCCTCTTGGGGGGGGGGCCCATTGGGCTGTCTGGGGGTAGTCCTGGTGGCATCTCGGATCGTCTGGGGGCGTCGGAAGCTCGAAGAGGCGAGAACGCGAACAGCATCGAACCACGCACGGGATGTCGCTGCTTTGCGCCCCCTCGGGGGGCCTCCTCGGGACGGCCCCTGGGGCTCTCCTGGGGACGCCTCGGCGGCCTCGGCTTCGCGCCCGTCCCGAAGCCATCTCGAAGGACCTTCCCCCCGACGAGGAGGGGGAGGAGGAGGAGGAGGAGGAGGAGGAGGAGGAGGAGGAGGAGGAGGAGGAGGAGAGGAGGAGGAGGAGGAGGGAGGAGGAGGGAGGAGGAGGAGGAGGGACCCACCCCTTCGCGCCCTGGGCCGCCGCTCTCCGACGGGCCCCCCCCCCCCTGGCCCGCGGAGCCCCCCCCCTGGCAGCGAGGCAGAGCGAGGAGAGCTCGGGCGGCCCGCGCCCCTCGGAGGAAGAGGCCCCGCCTGCCTCGCCGCGGGCCGATGGTGCAGCAGGCCCGGGCCCCGCCGCGGGGAGGCCCCTGAGAGGCCTCCCCGGGCGGGGCCCGAGCAGCTGGGGCCGGAGGATCGAGCCGCACCGCCGACGCCGTCGGCGGTGCATCGGGGACGGCGGTCTGAGGTCTGGTCTTTGGAAAACTTGGGCTTCGAGCGATCCCGCCGAAACCTTGGGCCCCTGTCCTCCTCCTCCTCCTCCTCCTCCTGCCCCATGCCTCCTTCCCCTCCTCCTTCTTCCCCCCTCCCATCCTTAGACTGAGGGGCGCAGGCGAGGAGGCCGCCCGCAGCGGAGCGGCGGCAAGGCCTCGGGGATTCTCGGGACAACTGGGGGTCTGGCCTCGTTTTGGTTTGTTCTGTGATGGTATCTTGTGCTCTGGTTTGGTTTGTTCTCTCATGTTATGCGGTTCTCTGTTATGTGGCGTTCTGTTCTGGTTTGTTATGACACGGTTGTTGTGTTCTGGTCTTTCATAGTATACATTGTTTTGCCAAGATATGTCACGCTCTGTTATGGTATGTCGTGTTATGTCTACTACGTTGTGCATGATATGATATGGTATGTTCTGTGATGTTATGGCATGGTCTGGTTTGTAATGATACTGATCATGTTATGCCATGATCGCGTTCTGTTATGGTATCTTCTATTGTGACGTGATGCGCTATGTCGTGTTCGTCGCTATGCTCTGTTGGCGCGTGATGGCATATTATGCACGCTGCGTCGTGATATGATATGTTCCGTCAATAGGTGTTATGTTATGGTCGGTCCTGCTATGTTATGGTGTGCCATACCATGTTGTGTTCTGCAATGTTATGCCATGGTATGCTTTGTGGTGGTATATTATGCTGTAGTGTACAATGAGTTGCAATGTTATGTTATGGCATGGTTGCTGTGTGATGCTGTGTTGTGATATGCTGCCTCATGTTATGCATTGTTCTGCCATACTATGTCATGAACTGTTGTGTTATGTCGTGCTATGTCTACTATGGTGTGCTGTTCTGCCATGATATGATAAGGCATGGTATGTGATGTTATGTCATGGTATGTTTTGTAATGCTACTGCCACCTGGTGTTCCGTCATATCATGTCATGTTCGTGCGTTGCCATGTATATAATCGAGTGTGGCATGTTGTGTTATGTCGTGCTCGTGGCTATGCTATGTTGGTGTGTCATGGCATGTTCTGAACGCTGTGTCATGATCTGATATGTTCCGCCAATGAGTGCAATGGTATGCGCAGTCATGTTATAGTACGGTGTTTTATGTCGTGCTATGTTCTGCAATATTCTGCCATTCTGTATTTCATGTTGCTATATTACGCTGTCCTTGTCATGGTAATGCTATGTTATGTTATGTCATGTTATGTTGTGTATTGCTGTGGTTTTCGTGTTTGTCGAAGACGCGAGGCTGGACTCCCAGGGACCCGGGGACTCTCGGGACAAGTTGGGGTCTGGCGGCCGCGGTATGCAGTCGTGTTTGTCGAGGGCGCGAGGCTGGACTCCCAGGGACTCTCGGGACAATTTGGGGTCTGGCGGCCGCGGTGTGCAGTCGTTTTTGTCGAGGGCGCGAGGCGGGAGTCCCAGGGACTATCGGGGACTCTCGGGACAACTTGGGGTCTGGCGGCCGCGGTATGCGTGGGGTTGGCCAGGGGGTCCTTTCTTGAAGCCTATCAACCCCAACCTGTCGGGTGGGGAAAAGGACGGCGGTCGGAGGATTGCACCGCGTCTCCGATGCGTCGGCGACGTCGGCGCTGCATCGGCGCCGTCGGCGTGGAGAAATTCTGGCGCCACATCGAGCCGCATGGTCGATGCATCGGCGGTGCGGAGCGATCCCTCGACCCCATCTGCTCGGACCCCATCTGGGAGGCCTAGACTTGTGGGAGCAATGTGGGAGCAATGCTGGAGCACATGTTGGAGCATGGCGAGCGGACCGTCCACGAGGTAATCGGCCGCCTGCTCTGGCCCCTCCGCCTCACCCGCCGGCACGAGCCCCCGGACGCGCGCCAGCCGGCTCTCGACCTCGCCCCGCGCGAGGGCAAGGACGGGCGCGCGCCACGCGACGGACCTGGAACTGGCCGCCGAGGGGCTCTTCGGCTGCACGGGGTTGCCTGGGCAGGTAAACAGCTGCACTCATCCTTCTCCTCCTCTCCCTCTTCCTCCTTCTCCTCCTCCTCCTCCTCCTCCTCCTCCTCCTCCTCCTCCTCCACCTCCTCCTCCTCCTCCTCCTCCCCCCCCTCCTCCTCCTCGTCGTCGTCCTCCTCCAGGCACACCAAGCCGTCGGACCCTCCCGCGGATGCCACCCGTCGCCGCCAGATCCCCCCTTGGGCGCGCGAGGCGCGCGGCGCACCGCCAGGGGGGCTCCAGCGCCGACCCGAGGAGCGCGGGCCCCCCGAGGAGCTTGGCCTGCCCCCCGGCGTCGGACGAGCCGCCGCCGTGGCTCTCGCACAGCGTGGAGGCCTCGAGGCCTCGACCTCCTTTCCGCGAAGTCGACCCCTTCCCCGGGGCCGGCATTCTGTCCTGAGCCGTTTTTGACGAGGAGGAGAAGGAGGAGGAGGAGAAGGAGGAGGAGGAGGAGGAGGGGGAGGAGGGAGGAGGAGGAGGAGGAGGAGGAGAGGAGAGGAGAGAGGGGGGGGGAGGGGAAGAAGGCGGAGGCGGAGGAGGAGGAAGAGGAGGAGGGCCCTGGGGCCCAGCGGGGGCTCTCCAACCCGTCGTGAGGTCTGCCGCGACGCGAGGGCGTCTGGGGGTGTCCGCGTCGCTTGCCGTGCCCCGGTCGCTCTGGCAGGGGTCGGAGGCCACGTGCACCATCGCCGCCATGGCGGCCCCGGGCGGACAGCGAGGCCACCGCCCCGAGGCCGGCGGAGGGTCCGCCGCCCTCCTCCTCTCCGCGGCGCGGCGAGCGCCGGGGCCCGTGGCTGCGGAGGGCGAGGCGAAGGAGCTCGGAGGAAGCGGCCCGACGCGGAGGACGAGGAGGACTACCTACCAGACCACCCCAACCCAACCCGAAGACCCGAATTTCGGGTTGGGGGGGGGTAAGGGTTCCACGCGTGTTTTTTCGATGTTTCCCGACCCCCCCCCCCCACTAGAAATCGAGGGTAAATCTGAGCCTTCGGGTTGGGTTGGGGTGGTTTGGTGGGTGGTGAGAGGAGAAGGAACTCTGCGGGACTCTGAGGGAGCGGGCTTCTCGATGGCCCCTCGCACGTTGGCGAAGACGCTCGCCATGGCGGCGGCCCAACGCAAAAGGGGGAGGAACCACCCATGCACCGAGCGACACGCGAACAGAAACGAGCAGAGCGGCCCAGCAGGGCGAGGAGGAGGACGGGGGAAAGGAAAAGAGGCCTGGTCGAATGGGAAGGCGCGGCGTGCAGGTGCTCAACGGCCAAAGGCGGAAGCACGCATCTTCCGCGAGAAGAAAAAAGGAGGCGAAGAAGGGCGAGGAGCTGCGCTGCGAAACGATCTGGGGGATTCGGATCCTGCAGGGTTCCGAGAAGCTCGGGAAGCTTCTCGAGGCGAAGGGGGAGAGGCTCGAAGGGGAAGGGTGGGCAGCCGTAGCCACTACCGTCTTGTCACGTTCCGTGGTCCATGGAGGGGGGTGTTTGGACACGAGAGCTTGACGGCGGCAAGGCAACGCACGGCAGCAGAACGAACGCACGATGGCGATGCTGTTATATCGTGTGCAGTAGGAGCTCGATCACAAGAAATCTTCAACAAGAAACCCAACCCTGAGACCCCAGGACGTCCATTGATTTTTGGTGTGGGAACGTCACGCTTTCCAAAGCAAGACCATCGAGACCCAAGACACCCAGGGCACCCCGGAAGCAAGCAGGGTGTTTCTTGAAATGGGTTTCCACTGTATGCTTGTCAGAGTGAGGGGGCTGAACGGTCTTGCACTGTCCCCGGGTGCGTGGCTGAAGTGGTTTCCCGCGGTGCGGCTTCTTAGTGTTTCGTGTATTGTTTTATTCTAGTCGTCCCACCCGCGACCCACCCCGCGACCCACCTGCGACCCATCCAGCGACCCAGCCGCGACCCAGCCGCGACCCTTCATCGACCCACCCCGCGACCCACCCGCGACCCACCCCGCGGCCCACCCCAGGCAGGAGGAGCAGGTGCAGGAGTAGGAGGAGGAAGAGGACAAGAAGAAGGCGGACGAGGAGGAGGAGGAGGAGGAGGAGGAGGAGGAGGAGGAGGAGGAGGAGGAGGGGGAGGAGAGGATCAGGCGAAGGCGAGGGCCATGAAATCCGCCGCCTCGACCACCGCGTCGGCCGCGCCCTCCCCCTCACTCATATCCGCCATTGCGGGGTGCTGAGAATCATGTCATAACAAAGAGTTCAAGGTGTTAGTCGGGTAGGGCGAAAGGGGGGGATAGCAAAGGGGGGGTTTGAGAATCAGCTCACGTAGCTGATTTTCCCGGCGCTTCCCGGCGCCGGAGGCGGCTATGTATCGAGGGATGGGCCCCTCGGTGAGGCCGAAACCAGCTGCATGCAGCAGATTTCGTAACCCCCCCTTTCCCTATTCCCCCCCTTTCGCTCGGCCCGAGTTAGGGGGAGGTGCGGGGGACAGAAGGTGAAGACTGGCGGGGAGAGGGGGTAGGGTAGAAGAGAATGGGGAGGAGTGATCGGGAGGGGAGTGAGGCAAGGGGAGAAGTGAAGGGGGATGGTTGGTTGGTTGGCGGGTGGGCGCCGGGTGCTGTAAGGGGGTGTCATGTTTGTTTCGCGCCATCGGATCTAAGCGCCCGCATTGCGCTGATGTGCATCCTGGTCGAGGAGGAAGGGAACGATAAAGGAGACGATGAACTAACCAGTTTGCACATCCACTTATGTAAACAAACGAAAACAAACCGAAAGTATCCCCTTGGGCGGGTCGGTGCCCGCCTACGAGTCTCGGTAGATTCGGGGTCCCGTCAGGACACGCAGCCGTCGTGCTTCCAGACGGGACCTCCCGCCTCCGAATTCTGGTCGGGGCCTCCTTGCCTGCTGGGGCGGGGTGCTGCTGGTCGAGGAGGAGGGGCCAAGGTAGGGAGAAGGAAGCGCACCGCCACCACCGCCACCAGGAGGATGGAGACGAAGGGTGGTCAGAGGTGGTGCTGGGATGTCGTTTCGGGCGCTCTCGCGGGACATCGTGCACACCCGCACCCCGCACACCAGCTCGTCCTCCTGTTGTTCCTCGTCTTCTCCTCCTCTTCCCCCTCCTCCTCTCCTCCTCCCCTTCCTCGCCCTCCTCTTCTCCTTTTCCTCCTCCTCCTCCTCCTCCTCCTCTCCTTCTCCTCCTCCTCCTCCTCCTCCTCCTCCTCCTCCTCCTCCTCCTCCTCCTCCTCCTCCTCCTCCTCCTCCCCCTTCTACCTCCCAGTCCTTCCCTCCTCCTCCCCCTCCTGCGCCATCCATGGTTCTTACACCTAATTCCTCCCTGTCGCACCTCCAAAAGTGTTGGCAGGGCGGGCTGGGCGTTTCGTCTGAGACCACATCACCATTATGGCCTTAAAGCTCAAACATTGCAACAACTTCAAATATGGAGGCCTCTGGGGGGGGTGCCGGGGTGGCTCTGCCGGGGAAGGGGGGGTGGGGGGGGGAGGGGGGGCGAGTTTCCGGCGGATGCGTTTTTTGACACCCCTCACAAGGATCGTGGCCTCCGAGGGGGTTCCGAACTCGAGTACCACCCCTCCCGCACCAAGAGGCTCCGAGGAGGCCTCCAAGAGGCCCCAAGGGGCGCAGAAGGGGCCCCCAAGAAGCCCCAAGAGGCTCCCAAGAGACCCCCAAGAGGCCCTCTAGTGGCCCCAAGAGGCCCCCAAGAAGCCCCAAGAGGCGCCCAAGAGGCCCCCAGAAGTCCCAGCCAACCACGAGATCCCAACCAGCATCCATGAGGCCTCTGACCCACCACCCACGCACGGTGGCGGGATAGGCCGACGGCCACTGGATAAATGCTGAGTGAGAGGAGGGGAGGGAAAAAGAGAGGAGGGACGAGGGCGAATAAGGATCACAACAGTCAGAGCGCCCTGGATCGGCGGCACTGGCCGAAGGCCACTACAATATGGAGGCCGAATGATTTCCGACATCTGATTCTCGCCTTAGCGTCGCGCACATTGGCATTAAACTTGTGCAGCAATGTCAAACATGGAACACGGATGGCTATCAACATCTAAGCACCGCGCAGGTCGGTTTCAAACGCTTGCAGCTCCAATGATGGAGGGCAGGTGGTTTTCGTGCGGTGGAAGTCCCAGGAATGGTGTTTTGGTCCGACTACATGTGGTCAATAAGCAACAGCGGCGTTGATTCGCAGTGTTGAAGTCCCAGGAACGGCGTTCTGACACGATTCAGGATTGCCAGAACGCGACAGCCACGTTGACTCGTGGCGTTGAGGGCCCAAGACTGGTGTTGTGGCACGATTGACGAATCACAACTGTGTTCCTCCAGTGGGGCACTTTCGGAAATGCAAATAGTTCCTCCTGGGGACCAATGAAGAGGGAACTTTAAAGGGAGGGCTTACCCCAATATAGTTGACATGTCTTGGCGTTGCACTGGTCCTTTCCTCCTCCTCCTCCTCCTCCTCCTCCTCCTCCTCCTCCTCTTCCTCCTCCTCCTCCTGATCCTCCTCCTCTCCTCTCCTCCTCCCCGTCCTCTCTCTCTCTCTCCCTCCTCCTCCCCATCCTCCCCCCTCTCCCCTTCTCCCCCTCCTCCTCTTCTCCTTCTCCCTCTCCTCCTCCGCTCATCATTATCTTCTTCCTCCTCCTTCTCTTCTTCCTCCTCCTCCTCCTCTTGTCTTTTTCCTCCTCTCCCCATGTTTCTCCTTTCATGTCTCTTGGGCAAGCCGTCCGTCTTGTCGTTTATCGTCCTCGTCTCTTCGTCGACGGCGACGTCGGCAGGCGCCCGCCACGCGGGCGGCGCGCGCGCGATTCCTGGATGGGCTCCACCATGAACGCGGCGATGTTGGCACCGTCCTGAAGGGGGCTTAGATGCTGCTGATGATGCTGATGCTGGTGATGGTGATGGAAATGGTGATGGAGATGGTGAAGATGATCATCATCATACTGATGACGGCGGTGATGATGCTGATGATGAAGAGGGGGAGGAGGAGGAGGAGGAGGAGGAGGAGGAGGAAGATGAGGATGAGGATGAGGATGAGGATGAGGATGATGATGATGATGATGATGATGATGATGATGATGAGGAGGAGGAGGAGGAGGAGGAGGAGGAGGAGGAGGAGGAGGAGGAAGGGGAGGAGGACCAGGAGGAGGAGGAGCGATCCTCAATCGTGGAGGAGGAGGAGCGACCCCCAAGCGTGCCATGTGCCTCATGCTTCCCACACTCCCTCGACTGCGCCCGCGACGGCCCTCCGCTGCTGCTGCCCCCCGAACGCCCCGGGCAACGCCCCCACGACGTGCGCGCCCGCGCCCCTGCCTGCCCTCTGCTTTTTCGGCTGGGAGCTGAGCCCCTCCCCCTCCCCCTCCTCCTTTTTGTTAGTGGCTCTCTTAGGAAGGCACCAACTATACACCAACACCGATCCTGGCCAGGATCACCCTGGGCCCAGGATCGGTGTATACGCCCTCCTGCCTTGGGCAAGAAGGCATATACACCGATCCTGGGCCCAGGGTGATCCTGGGCCAGGATCGGTGTTGGTGTATAGTTGGTGCCCTCCGATCTCTCTATTGGCCCCCACCAGTCCATGACCGAAGGGGCTGCCAAAGGGCCCCCCAAACGTCACCGACCACCTCTGCCCCGCACCCGCAGGGCGGAGCACGAAGGCCAGGACCGCCATACGAGCGCGGGGCAGAGGCCCGGGTGCCTGGCTACCCCCAGCCACCACCCGCAGGCAATGGCCAAAGT